TTTACTTGTCGTCTCGCGTTCGGTATCGATTTCGGTCACCTGGTTCACCCAGTCCGAAACATCTTGCATTTTTTTTCATCGTATGGTCCCGCATAAAATTATTAGTTACCATTCACTGCTGTGATTTTCCTTCATCAAACTTGATCCCAATCATAGCTGAAATTTAACAGTTACCTCAAATCAGGATTTCATACCAGCAACGTACATACGATGTGTACGTGCACATTCAACACGAACAATTTCTACACATTTAACGTCGAAATATTTCGGAACATATAAAATTACTGTTCATACTGTGTGGTGTGGTGCAGCTCGGATCGAAACAAATGTGCATTACTGTTAAACAAGTATTAAAAGTGGCAAATGTCCAAATCGATGCATTTGTTTTCTATGTATGAACCCTCCTGTTAGATTCCATCGGATGAAAATCATCTGCCCTTGATGTTGATGCTTGATTCAACACCTTTTCCAAAGGGATGATGCATAAGACGGAGAAGAAAAAACACCGAAACCATTACCGTTTTTGATGGTTTTGCTGCTACGCTCAATGAAAATACACAACGCACTCAAATCTCAGACCAGCTTTTACATGACGATGTACGTGTCTATTTCACAACTGTTTCGACTTACACACCGATGCATCGATGCTCAAGAAATATTTTAACGGTTATTTTTGGATGTGCGCGCGCAACAACAGCAGCATCAGCAGTGGCAACGGGGCAGAAGCAACGGAAGAAAATAGGAAAACATGATCCAGTGTAAATACGGATATATATTTGGAAATCATCGTTTCGTCTCTCGAATCGAAACGTGAAAAAATGCAAGCATGTGCATGCGCCGCCGAACTGGATTCAATGCAAACAAAAACACAAAGTACCGTATTCCATAACACACCGCGCTGTGCATGTAGAAAAATCTGACCCTCAGCAATTGAGCACACCGAAATCATTTGTGCTGTTCCGATTTAACCCCTCGAGCAGATGCATCAAATGCAAAGCTGCGCGATCTCTCTCGCTGCCGCTTGGCAGCAGCAAAAAAAAATATCACAAACAAATCTAAACAAATAACTTTGACAGATTTTCCAACATTGCTCTGGCTTCGGCAGCCACCATGGCCCAGACAACCGAACACAAGCTCAGGTACAGTCGCATCATTGTTGAGTAACTGATTCATTGACGTTTTGAATAAAACTTGTACCAATTCTTGGAATTACTTGCAATTTCAGGTCGATGTGCTGCGGCTACTACCAAAAGAATCTTTTTCTCGTATCAAACAAATGAAACGTATTCATTACACTCACAAATGAAAGACAAATTGAAGAAGAGTTTAGATTTATTACACAGTTTTTTCTTTCATTTCATTTTCGGTTGGGCCGGTGTTCTTCTTCCGATTTGCTATTTTTTCGGATACAGACAAACACACACTCACAAAAAAACGAAATTCCGTTATTATTGTCCATTTCATTTATTTGCATTGTTGGCATCGGTCGAAACAGTTGTGTCTGCGCTGTCTGAATCGTTGGGCCATCAATAACTTCCGAAAAGGTAAATAGGAAATAAATGAATTTGAAATCATCGTCGCACAGACACAATAGAAGCAAGCAGCCGTTTACTCAAACACACATTACGCACACGCACACACACACACATCCGAACAGATCGACTTGATTTTTTAAATTCGATCGATGTCATCTTTCCTTCATTCCACACTTTGACTCGCTCTCTGTCTGCATCTTACAAATGATTTTCGGTATGTTCACTTTATTCCTTTGAATTTCAGCTTCAGTTGGTTTTTGGCCGTGATTTTTGTCTCGCACAACAACAGAGGCAAAGATGAAGACGAAGCTGAAAAAAGAGATGGTATCAAGTATGCAGTAGAAAGAATTCAATTGAATAAAAAAATAAAAATAAAGAGAGACTCATTGCAAGAGAGGGAGAGCAGCAAAAAGAAAAAGCAGGTCATAATTGCACCGGGCTTTTTCATCATTCCAAACCAAATTGTACTATCGAAAATTCGAAAATTATGCCTTTTATGATGAAGCCAAATGCAAGCGTGCTGCATTACATTGTTCGCATTTTTTTTCCTTCGGAACTCTCTGTGTCTCTCTCTCTCTATTCCCCCCGCTCTCTCTCTCTCTCTCTCTCTCTCTCGCTCGCTTGCTTTGTTGCTCTTTCTCTATCCCCATGCACAACTACTAAAGTAGACCGAACAATTTCAATAATAGAATTTCATTTTATGTGCATTATTGTTACGTATATAAATTATTACTCGGTCCAAAAACAAACTAACGCGTTTCGGCATTTTCCTCTCTGTCTCTGTGTGTGTGTGTCACGGGTTCGGTGTATACGTATGTATGTGTACATCGATGTGTTAATCTTTTACATTTAACAAAATGCAGAATACACCTATGTTTATACAGATTCGTTGAGGTCTCCCTTGCTCGAGCCGGGTAATTGTTGATGTTTGTTATGCTTTTTTTTCTCGCTTCGATCGCTCGATGAATAGAGGAATATTATGCGGCTATGTGCAGAAATATACAAAGCTGACGCATTTTCGGAACAGATGTGAGGCAATATCGTACCATAGGCTTCAAATTGGTTTATTTGCCCGGGTAGTTCAATATTAAAATTAACTAATGGCATTTTCAACTTCATATAAAATCAACTGGAAATCTGCGGTTCAACCAAAATTATATTCGTTTACAAATGCCTGATCCCTAATGCATGATTCTACCAACCCAAAACACATGCAGTCTTCAACTTTTTCCACTTACACACTCGGCAAGCATTGCGTAGCGTAAGCAATGGAAAAAATACCATTACAATAAAGGCGAACGAAAAAAAAAATTCAAGATCAAATTCAGCGTCGACAAAAAATCACCACCTTGAATTCGGTTTTCCATTTCATTTGGCGGCCAATTTTTTTTAAAGAGCAAGCAAAGAAATCGAACACATGAACGTAAATTATGAGGCATAAGAAACATGCGCGCATTTGCCTCGACGACGACGCGTTCGGTTTTTTAACGGAAATATTAATGTCGGTTTCCGATACGGATGGAGGAAAAAAATCAGGATCTTAACCAAATTCATGTCCCTCGACTACGATTTTAGCAAGTTTTTCTTCCACGGAAAACATGTTCTTCATTCGTTACGAAATGTGGAATTCTTGATGAATTCGAAATTAGTTTTTTATCGTTTCAAATTGAATTTCTAACGAAGTTTTTTTTTTCAATCATCGAAGTTTGAGTTGAACGAGTACCTCGACTCGAATTTGGCCGAGTTCTTCGGGTATATCTATACAAAACCTTCTCTGAGTTGAACTTTGAAAACGATAATTTCGTTTGATGATAGGATTCTCGCTCCGTAATTGTCCATCGTTGAACTTTGAGATAAGGAGCTCAACATGCGGTAATTTACGAGTTTCAACTGACACTCATTTCTGCACGTATCTTTCGGTCTCACCCGTTCAATGTCCATAAACCGTAATGTGATTTTTATGTTTTCGTTTGCAACAATTCTCACGTCACAATGCGATAAGAATCGATTTTGTTGTTGAATAATAAATTAAAATCCGACCGAATATGCAGCATAAGCAAAAAAAACTGTCCAAATTCCATAAAAAGAGTGCAAAACATCGGCGAATGTCTTGAATACAAAGTGAGATAAGTTTGGTTTTTTTGGAGGACCAAAAAAAAATAAAATTGCCGTTTATTTTTAGCCGAAAAAGAATTGTTATTCGATCAAAAAAAACTTCGGTATTTTGATCAGCGACACCATCAAACAAAACGGTTTTGAATAAATGATTTTGCGTGATACAGCACATATGATTGAATATGAAAAAGTTGAACGATATGAATCGGAGGTATGTCGAAATGACACACGTGTAATTAAGACGTTGATACTAGCCAAGATCGACCTACAATCGATTGAATGCGTTTGTTCTAAAGTGCACTCGAAGATATTCGTCAATAAAATATTCCAAAATGTGTCATGCAAATGAAAACGATTCATTGTTGCCCTAAATTACGACTAATTACGAAATAGACTTTCGACTTTGTGCTCCAATTCCAAAAAAGAATGTTTATCGTTTTCGATAACGCGTGCATTTGAAATCGAAATGGAAAAATTTCAATTATTACACCCGAAAAAAAAACAGTGGCCGAAATTCGAACGCTTTTACCTGCCTTATTTTGCGCTAAAGCATGTGTGGATATATCGATATTCGGAGCAAGCAGTTCTAATGCACGTAGGTTCGAACGAAGTAGAAAAGTCCATAGGTAGCATAGATGCACTCACACATACCGCAGTGCTGCACATAACGATCGTTCAGCGTACACCAGCAACACATACACATACACGGTACCTGATATATCAAACTCCTGAGCAACTTAGTAAGTGATAGAGACACAGAGTGATGCATGTATGCGTTGACTGAGGGAATGAATAATGACGAAAGCAGCAGCAGCAGCAACATCAATAACAATGAATCGCAAATGCAGTACAGCACCAAGAACAAGACAATAACGGCAGCTAGAACGACATCGGTAACTTACCATCAACAGCAGCAGCTGTTGCTCGCTAGTTCGATACTCTACGCACTCATGCACCCATTCAAAATGTATAATCCGTAAAGGATGAAGTGGGAAAGCAACACAGCACATCAACCAAAGAGAGAATACCGATTTTCGTTGAGGGGAAAACAAAAACACTTTGTTGTTGTTGTTGCTCTGCTCTATGCATTGGCATATTGTTTCGTATACACATATATATCTGAAGCGGCACGTGTTCAATTGCACACACAGAGGTTCTTTTCTACGACGAGATCACTGCGTCAAAATACATGCGAGTTTTTGTGTGTCGGTTGTTCGCTTATTCTTTCATTCTTTTTTCGTTTTCATCGCATTGAGCCCGGTGTGTGCATGTCTGTCGGTTGAATGGTAGGGGACGCGTATATAAGGCCTTCTGGTTTTGGTGTAAGATCATTCAAGGCCCGTTCGCCATCGAGTAAACACGTCGCTTCTCTTAGAGTCTTTCGCTCTGAAAAAAACAAATAATCAAGTAAAATAAACTGCGTTTTACGTTTGTACACATCGATCGATTCGAAATCGTTAAACTAGTGTTCAATCACAAAGTAAAAGTGTGACGATCAAGTTAAAGTGAATTGATTTTTCAACAAAATCAATTTGAGTGATTTTTTTTTTCGATTAAAAAAAAGAACAAAAACAATCTCATCAAAATGGCACACATTAAAAGTGAAACGAAAAATTATAACAGTTGCCCATTGAAAAAGCGTCCAATTATGTTTGTGGATCCAGTCGTCAAAGACGAACCCGAACAAGATGAGCCAGTTAATTTGTGCGTTCGCAAAGTGAACAAAGACGAGCAAACTGCTTACGTGAACAAAGTTCGTGCGATGCCATTGAAGGATATCACCGCACACAACCAACAATCGACCATCCGATATGCTCCATACAAAATTGAAGAAAACCGTGTTCCATATGTGAAACAAGAATTGTACAATTTGTTGCCAGGATATGCCGCAAACACAACAAACACATTGAACTACACACAAACATCACCACCACCACCGACATCGGCATCATCGATCAAATCCGAACCCGAATACTGGCAATCGTTCTCCCGCGAACCATCCATGTCTCCACCAACCACACATATGTTTGTTCCATCACCGCCACCAATGAAAATTGCCGCCGTACACAGTGGCACACATCGATATGCTCCATATGTGAGCCGACAACATCACATCGTTGGCGAATACCATAGCAGCATGTCGCCAACACACAGCCATCATTCAGTGAATTCATTGGGTGGATCATCGCGTAGTTCAATGTCACCAGCATCGACCAGTTCATCAATTGAAGATCCATACACAATAATGCAAGCATCAACCGGTGTCACACTCACCAAACCAATCACATACGAAACCAGCACCGAACATTCCGTCATCATGAAAGCCGATTTGCCACGCTACCAATGCTCCGACTGCAACAAATCCTATTCAACATACTCGGGCTTGACAAAACACAAGCAATTCCATTGCTCCGCTTCACCAACCAGCCAAGCCAAGAAATCCTTTGACTGCCAATTTTGTCCGAAAAATTACACATCTTTGGGTGCATTGAAAATGCACATTCGTACACACACCAAACCATGCAAATGCCATTTGTGCGGCAAAGCATTCTCACGACCATGGCTGCTACAAGGACACATTCGTACACACACCGGTGACAAACCATTCTCATGCCAATTCTGCCATCGAGCCTTTGCCGACAAATCAAATCTTCGTGCCCATTTGCAAACCCATTCCGATGTGAAAAAGTACAGTTGCACCTCGTGTTCAAAAACCTTCTCAAGAATGTCATTGCTCACCAAACACGCAGAAAGTGGCTGCCCCGGTTTGCACGAACAACATCATCATTAAGCGTAAAAAACACCTTAATTAAGTGTAAATTTAAGTTAATGATAGTTTTCGTTTTTTTTCCCCCTTTCATTTATATAAGCTAATTTATGCTCCTTTGCCATTTCATTATTAATAAGCTAAAAAACATTCAATTAAAAATTAAGTTGCACTCGAATTGCATCATCAATCATCATAAGTTAGAGAAAACCAAAAATAGTTAAGGCACACACACACACACACATTTAGTATTAAGTAATCTGTTGTTCCTAGTCATATTTATGTTGCTGAATTTTATTTGTAAGATCGTAGCATTTTAGTATTTATGGTTAACTTATTTATTGTGCCTTGCATATTTTTCACTTTGTACTTTCATCGATCGAAAAAATGACAAGTTTTTTTTATTAAAAAAAAAAATAAACAAAAATGAAAATATCTTTTTTATGAAAAAAAAAACCTCTCAATCTTTTTCTTTTCCTTCACTTCTTCATCATCATTTGTTTGGCTTCTTTTTTGCAGGAACTTTCTTTCAGCGGAACAAAATCACATTATCAACTCAACACCAACCGTACAAATTGATGTAATGATAAAACCGACAAAAAAAGCAGGCCAAATGAAATCATCAAGCAATGGAAGCAGAGCGAAAACGGTAAGGAAAAAAAACGACCAAAGCAAACTTGATATTGACCGTCATAGAGATGACGATGTGCAAAACGATATTTGGACAACGATGAAATTAAATAAAGCGACTCTGAAACGCATCAAAAATACAATGCTGCTGCTGCTGCTGTTGCTTCTTCTTGTTTTGCTTTCAACCTTTGAAATGAGAAAAAAAAAAGAGAAACGAACGAACAAAAAAACAAGCACACTGCAAACACAACCACAGACAGCTAAACAGTTCTTCTCATCGAGTTTAACATTAATCTTCTCAAATAATTGCTATCATTAATTTTTACAACTTGATCAACCGCTACTGGTATTTTCTCTCTTTTCGTGTATAATAATCTTGCTTTGCGCGCCGAATATGTGCACTCCACTCTCTCTCTCTCAGATAATACAAACAATTTTCGATCTGAACGGCTTTCGATTCGAAAGCGACACTCGCACACACATTTTTCGCATATGACGCAGGCGCTCTTTTTGGCGTTGACGCTTTGAATTGTTACGGTTACAATTGGTGGTTTTCATTTTGAGTGGAAATTTTCGACGAATGCTGTTTTTCGAAGTTCATGACCAATTAGTTGATATTTCTTAGAATCATAGAATTTATTTCAACGAGTCTGAAAGATGGTTCACAATTCCGAGCTGTCAATTTAGCTAATTTTCGTTGCAAGAAGAAAATTCCAATAGGAGAAATGCACAAGCATGGTTCACATTGTATGTTGGTAAAATTCTGACTGGAAAAGAATTCCCACAAACTCTTTCTTTTGTGGGTAAGGATAATGTATCTGTCGAAAAACCGTCGAATTTTATTTGTGCGTTATAACACACAGATTCAGTGTCCCTTGTGCGTTATATTCTCCAGCGGAAAGAGATATGAATGTGTAATTTATGGCCGTGATGTGTATCATAAAGGAAAGAGATAAAGCTTACAGATCCGCTTTGTATGGCCCACTTTTCTTGCACTGCTGTGTGTGCGCGCTTCGCGCATCGCTCCAATTGAAATTAATAATTTAATTATAAATTTCAGCGATCGTAATGATTAATGTATCGAACGAAATGTACGAAAGACCGGTAATCATGGATTCAATTTCATCTCGGCAATTTTCTGTACAGAATCGCTCATAACACTGACACTGTGCTGCACACAACCAGAAGCATGCAAACAGCAAGATGAATCGAAATCAATGTATCGGTTCCGTTTCCTTTGCGCATTTCGGTTTTTCTTCTTCTGCAAACACAGCGTGGTGATCATGTGTGTGAGTTCGAAGTGAATTTACGAAAAAAAATATACGATTTAATAATACGTTGACGGTAAAAACGTAATAAATTGAATATTTCGTATAACTATAAGTCATGTGTCAAGGTGGCTTCCACATTCGGTGTTGTTTTTCTCTTTTTTTGTTAAATGCTCTCACAAAAAAAACCGTGGCCATTGATTGTCAACAAATCGAAAATGTTATCATTTATTCTGCGAAAGTCAGTTGAAAACGGTTGAAAACAAAGAAACATCACAACAGGCGAGAGAACAAAACATATAGAGCCCAATGGCAACACATACGAAAACTGTGATCAAATAAGAAAAATCAAATAAGAATTGTGCATTCTCATTCATTGTCAGCATCGCATACGGAAAATCAGTAGCCATTTGTAAAATGTAATTTTTGCATATTTGAAATGTGATAGAATCGGTTTTCGAAATGGTGCCATTTCATTCCGGGAATTTGGATTCTTTGAATCAAACCAAATACTGCGATCACGCTTTTGACCAAACGAACAGTAGACATACACACACACGAAACGAATCATTTTCGATGCAAGCGCACATACATAGGCATTTTGATCCAGCGAATAATATGTAAAAAGCATTGGAAAATTCCCGAAAATACCTGCTAATCCTTAAAGTGAATTTCGAAGGAATCGAAAACGAGCGAGAGCGAGCGAGCAAGAGAACGAACCGAGAATGATGGAGAACATTTTGTGAAATAAAATGAATACAGCAAGAGATCAACGAAACCACAAAGCCGCGCGCACTTGTTGAACCGTTTCGTTCATTGGTTTTTGTTTTCCGAGAATTGGACAGAGATTTGCCGGGCCGCACACTGGTTCATCGAATTCAGCGAACTCTGTAATTTTTGCCGTTGTTTCGGATGTTGCTGCTGCCGGTGATTCTTCTGGCTTACTTGTTAGGTTCATCACATACGTCGAAAAGTGCATTCAAGTGTGTAGCCGAACAACGCTTCTCCGCTGCCTTTTTTTTTCAATTTTCAACAACCTTTCAATAGCGGCGTGATGATTATTTTCACTGATTGTGTATATTGATATTCAATGGACACTGTGGAGAGAAGAAAAGGCCCAACACAAACGACTGAAATGGATTTTGGATTGCACTGCAATCGCTTAAAGTGCAAAAATTCGATGCAGACCCAACGTCGAATCGAACGAGAGAGAGAGAGAAAAAACCTATACTCTGGAAATGCTCGAATCAAACGCAAATATTTCCTGTTGCGTTGTGCATTTCACCAGCCGACGCTCACAAATCGAAATATGCGTAACTAAATGTTCAATTGTTGATGATGTTGTGTGTGCTTTTGTTTTACACTGCATCGTTTGCGCGAGAATGCACGATGCCAAGTGTATCATTGGGTGATATTTTATTTAAATTCCTTTTATTTCGTTAACTTTTTCTCTCTCGCTCTCCTATGGCCCTTGCCTCTCTTCTCTTCCTCATAAATTGATGGGTCGATTGTGATTGTTCCGCGTTCGGTTCATGTGCTTGCTCACCGAAAAGAAAAAGAGAGATGAACATGATTTCTGTTTCTTCCTTATATTTTCTGTGGCATTTTTTTTTATCTCATTTCACGAATTCTCTGATTGTGTTCGCCACTCGTATTATTTTTTTTACGTTCGTGTTGCCTCGTACCTTTGGCTCGTAATCAGAGTGTGTCGAAGCAAATAAACGCTTTAACTGCGAAAGTCTCTTCTTCGCAAGATAATTTCAATATTTTAGTCAGTCACATATTTTATTTCGTAAAACTGTATTTGCTCTTTTATCCGCTGTGCCACAGTCGAATGGGAAGAGAAAAGCGACAACAACAACAATATGCTGATTTGCCTGTTACCGTCCATCGCACCATACGCAAATCATTACAAAAGTGTAACGCACAAATCCGATAAAAAGCACACACACACACACACACACACACACACACACGAACCGTCCGATACCATTTCGAACAATGTAATCGATCGAATAAAATAAATTTTTTTCCCTCTTCGATGCATTTGCTTTTTCTTCTCTGCTGTTCAGATGTTCGCTTTGTCTTTGTTTGTTGGCTCTCGGACAGAAATATACTGATGCAGTCAACAGTTTATTTGTCAGAAATGTCAACAAATCGTAGCCGGCATTGTTGCTGATGCTACATGAAAATACTAAATGCATTTGTGTGTTGTATTTTAATTCGTGCGTATTTTATCGCATGCACCGTGTTGTGTGCTTGTTCCTTTGTTTTATCGACTGGAGAGCGATATTCGATGAGCATGACACTGAACAACGGTAAACATAGTATGTTTGTCAGTTTGCAAACTGACATTTTATTATGTAACGACCCAAGTATAGAACTGATCTGTTACGCATTCGCCCGAGGTGAGTTTTTGGATTTCTTGAAAATGTCAAAAGTGAAAGACAGGAACAGAGAACGTGAGAAAGAGATAGATAGAGAGAGAGAGAGAAAAATGTGGCATTTCATCGATTCCGACTGAGAATTTGCGGAGAAAAAAGTTCTTATCGTTTGAGAAGTTCGAATTTTCGGAATATCATCGCAACAAAGAAAGGGAATTTAACTCACACACGACTTCAAATAGATGATTCACCGTAGAAAATTCGGGTAAGTAGGTAATGGAAACGGATGTTGGTATTAAAATTCAAGGCGATTTCTTAGTTTCTCTTTTTGTGGCCGAACAAAGGATTTCGCTGGCAAAAGAAATGGCAATAAAGGAGGAAATTTTTGGTTGTAGTTGGATTTTGTTGGTTTTTTTTCTCGCGTTTCTCTCACTCGAAGAGAAAATCCCTCAAAATGTGGTCATTCACTTGAAATGACCTTATTTAAAGTGAAGTCACTATGCAAGCGCGCCGCACATCGCAATACATCAAATCGCCAAAAAAAAAATCAATGGCCATGTTTTACACGGTGCACGCATAAACGAAACAAAATCCACCAAATAAAAAGACACTTCGTCGTTCGTAATTGCTTTCTGTGTATTATGTTATTCGGTTGCCTTTTTCTCCTTCATCATCATATTATAAACGTCCAACCTTAAACATGAGTGCGGATTTTTCAGCGGTGGCGGCGGCGATGTTGCTGTCGAGAACATTGAGCCACTCGACAAAAGACGACGACGAGACGACGAAACCAAGTTTATATCAAGGTATATGTGCATAACCTTAGCGAAGTTGTGTTTTGTATAGAGTTTCGTTTATTTTTATTGTTTTCGACGGATTAAAGAGCATTTTGGTTTTTTTTTTCGTTGCTCGTCTCTTTGGCAGGAAAGCGAGAAGGAAGAAAGCGCACAGCGTTGAAAAAGGAGAAAGAATATCAACGTTGGCGACGACGCATCACGTACAAACGGACCACGCGGCCACATAAAAATATTCCAGAATTAAGCATCGCTTAAAATGATGTTATATGTTTTAAGCTAAATGTGTATTAAGAAAA